ATAAATTGATGATATGTTGGAGATAAGAGGTATATTAATAAATAATGAAACCAAAAAAAAATATTATTTGCGTATATGGGTATTAGTAATTTAGCTGAGATGAGGTCCTTTGTTTATCCAAAAATATTGAAAGATCTTAATTATGAAGAGATTATTGAAGTTGGTAAGAAAGTTTTTAAGCCTATTTCAACATTATTTAGCTCGAGAATTAAATTTATTCGGATAGAAAGAGGGGTTGGTGAATCAGTTGCGGAGTTTGCAGCTCGACTTAAAAAATTGGCTCAAGAGTGTAAATTTGAATCTGACCTAGATGGGAGATTGAGGGATCAGATGGTGGCTGGAATCAAAATGAGTGCATTGGAGAAAGATATTCGCACTAGATTTCCAGATGGAATAAATGACTTAGGAGAAAGGGTGAGTTTTCAACAGGTTTTAAATATGGCTTTGGCAATGGAAAGGGCTGAAGATGAAGTGACAAATATGATGGTAAAAAAGTCAATAAACCTAAGGAGCAGATAGAGAATAATCAAGAAAATTTTTCGAATCAAAAGTACTCATATAATAATAACAAAGAAAAGGGTAATTTTAGTTATTACAATAACAATAATAATAATTTTAAGTTTAGAGATAACAATAAATTTAACAATAATGATATGTATAAGTTTAATAAATGCTCAAAATGTGGAAGAACTCATCCCCCTTTTCAATGTTTTGCATCAAGGGTGAAATGTTATAATTGCCAAAAGGTAGGGCATTATGCTAAATATTGTAAGGGACAGAAGTTACATGCTATGCATATAGATGACAATGATTCATCAGATTCAATTAATAATATTTCCCAAATTGGTAGAAATAGTGCAAAGATATTTGTTTGGATAAATGGAGTACCTATAGAATTTGACTATGATACGGGGGCACAGGTATCGGTGATTGGGAAACAATATTGGGATGAAATTGGCCGACCCAAACTTGGACCAACCAAACCTTTATCAGTATATGGTAACCAACCGCTAGATGTGCTTGGTGAAACTATGGTGAGGGTTTGTCTTGGAAAGATAAGCAGATCACTACCGATTGTGATGACCCGTTCAAATGACATTCCATTATTTAAACTACCATGGATACTGGCATTTAATATGTTTATTCCACGACAAGTGACTATACGTAGTATCATAAATAAAGAGGTTATGACAACCAATAAACAAATTGCTGGCATGACAACAGAATTTATTAGTGTTTTTGATGACAAGCCTTGACGGGTGAATGATATAGAAGTTAGCATACATTTGAGTGAGGCAGCAAGGCCGAAATCATGGCCAGCTCGTAGAGTACCTTTTCCATTACGAAAACCAATTGAAATGGAACTCGATAGATTGGTTAAATCAGGAATATTGAAGGCGATTGATCCAACACAAAAACGATTGACATGGGCCACTCCAACGGTAAATGTACGAAAAACAAATGGAGAAATCAGGATTTGTGCGGATTTTAAGGTGACATTAAACCCATATATTTTGTACGATTATCATATTATACCAACGGTGGATGATCTTTTAACCAAATTAAAAGATGGATTGAAATTTACGGTAATAGATTTGAAAGATGCATATTTACAATTACCAATAAAAGAAAGTTCAAAAGAATACTTAACCATATCGACCCACATAGGTTATTTCCAATATCAATGTATGCCTTTCGGTCTTTCTAGTGCGCCGACCATATTTCAAAGATATATGGACAATTTATTACAAGACTGCCAAATGACCGGAGTATATCTTGACGATATTATCATAACGGGGAAAAATGATGTAGAACATTTGAATAACGTAAAAAAAGTACTTATGAAACTAAAACAGGTGGGTATGAAGGCAAAATGGGCCAAAATACGTTTTTTAAATGAATCAGTTTCTTTTTTGGGTTTCGTAATAGACAAATATGGAATACATCCAGCGAAAGAAAAAATAGATGCTATTCGAAGGATACCAACTCCTAATAATATACACCAATTACGATCTTTTTTAGGACTTGTGAATTATCACGAGAGATTTTTGCCACATCTACATGGAATTGCCGCTCCTCTGCATAAATTAACAAGCATTAAATCTTGCTGGGGTTGGTCGGACAAGGAACAAGAGGTATTTGATAAAATAAAACAGCTTTTGTCAACAAATAAAACGCTAATTCCATATTCGCCAAACTTGCCAATTATATTAAAATGTGACGCTTCCAACACTGGTTTTGGAGCTGTGTTATGTCATTTAGTGAAAAAAGATATTAGCAGACCAATCGCATTTGCCTCGCGAACACTTCTAGAGTCAGAGAAAAATTATGCACCAATAGAAAAAGAGGCACGAGCACTTTTGTTTGGTATGGAAAAATTTCATACATTCATTTTTGGTCGAAAATTTTTATTACGAACAGATCACAAACCTTTGGAAAAATTATTTGGTGATAAACGGGAACTACCAAAAATATCCAATAGTCGATTAACGCGCTGGGCTTGGAAAATGTCCGCATATGATTTTGATATTGAATATGTTCCTGGAAAAGATAATAAAGTAGCGGATACATTATCTAGACTGCCAATAGATGGCATAAAATCAAATAATGATCAAAAAAACGCGTTAAAAATTAGAGCTATAAATTTGCACGATATAAATATTAGTCAAGTTGAACTCCAAAAGGAAACAAGGAATGATAGCTTGTTTAAAAAAGTAGTTAAAAACATTGAGCATGGATGGGTGGATTTTGATGCGAAAAAAATACAGAGTTAGTTTGTTTTTATAATCGTAGAGAGGAATTGTCAGTAGATCATGATGTTATTGAATGAAATGGGAGGTTGGTAATTCACCATTTTGAGGAAATAAATTTTAACGATTATACACAGAGGGCATCCAGGAATAAATGCTATGAAATCGATTTTTAGAATGTATTGCTGGTGGCCGAATTGCGATAAAGATATTGAACAATATGTTCGTCAATGTATGCCTTGTCAAAGTAATCGGTCGAATATTATGGAGGTTCCTTTATATTCGTGGAACATATCTAATATACCATGGGAACGAATTCATTTGGATTTCGCGGGGCCTTTTGATTCGTATTCATGGTTAGTTGGAGTTGATGCACATACTAAATGGGCTGAGGTTGAGTTAATGAGAGAGATTACGTCCACGACAATGATCAGGGTTTTAAGGAAATGGTTCGCACGGTTTGGAACACCTAGACAAATCGTATCAGATAATGGACCTCAATTTATTTCTGGAGAATTTCAAAAATTTTCTTTCGAGAAAAATATTAAATTGATACATACAATACCGTACCATCCAAAAACGAACGGTTTAGCGGAAAGAACGATACTAACCCTCAAGAGTCGATATTTTGCAACTTGGAAAGACATCAGGGAGCCCGAGGAAGCCATGGGAGAAGTTTTGCTAGCATGTAGAATGGGTGAGCATCAATCAACTGGACGTTCACCGGCTAAGTTATTATTGGGGCGAAATTTAAAAACGGGATTGAATTGGTTACGTCCTAATGTTAGTTATGAAATGGAACGATCGAATATACGACAAAAAGTAGCGCATGATGAACATAGTCATATGAGAGAATTTGGGATTGCACAACCGGTATGGGTGCATAATGAAATAAATTCAGGTTGGAGAGAAGGAATTATAAAATCCAGAACTGGCAGATATTCTTATTTGGTAGAAAGCAAGGATAGAATGGTACGAAAGCATGCGGATCAACTTCGAAAAAGGGAGGTAGCTAAAGAAATGGAGAAGTCTGGGCCAAGGAAAGAAAATGGAGAAAATATGGAGTCAGAGAGAGAAGAGGAAAATATAAAAAATAAAGAGTCGGATATAGATGAGATTTTAGAAAATGTGGAAGATAACGGAAAACTAGAAACGCGGAAATCACAAAGAGCCAGGAAACCTACAAATCGGCTTATTGAGGAATTGTAAGATCATATGTGTGGGGATATGTTATAAATGAGATTTATATTATATATTATCAATGTTATAAATCTCATATATATATATATTATCAACGTTATAAATGTCATAGATACAAATCAATCATATTAATATATTCATCAGGTGATTGCCAGTCAAATAAACTTAATTAGTATACAATTAACTGTAAATAATTACAATTTTTTAACTTTGAGTCTGAGTGTACAAAGTCTACCTCTACTAGGTCACTTGAAGATCCTTAAAAAGGTGTAAAGAAGATTTTTTGTTATCTAATTAAAAACGTTTATAAATTTGTCTATATCAACAATATACCTTTGGTAAGAACTAAGAACTATTGCGAACATCATCAAAAAATATTGGGCAATTAACTTCGTTTATTTAACTTCGTAACTTTTTATCGATTCGGAAAATGCGTATAAATAAGAAAAATATAGCTTTTATTTCTTGTTAATACGCCATTTGGCATAAGTCATCATCTCCTGGTTATCGATGGGTGTAGTAATACAATAAAAGAATTTTAAAAAATTTAAATAAGCATCCCCACCCCCTACTCAAATTTTTAGAAGTAGTTGCTTCCTACCCCATTCGTTGTAAGAGCCACTTGTAAATGACACCTCTGTACGTCTCTGTAATAAATTAAGCTTCAACCATAAAGTTTGGTTTCACTGCACCCTAAGATAAGATATCTAGCTTGAAATAATTATTTGATTAAATAATGAACCCAGTTTTGGAATTGATTATAAATTTTTCTAATAAAAATTCTTATTAATTGTTAATATTCTTAGATTTATAAATCTTAAACTGAAGATAATTATAAATAATCCTAAAATTAAACAAGTCTAAAATATTATATAGATAATTTAAACTAAAGATTTTTAAAAGTATTCAATATTTTAAAATATTATTTGCTTCTTTTTGACGATGATTGACTAGATATCTAACGTTTTCGGTAATCATCAGGTATAATCAAATATTTTCCAAGCGCGTACATTTGAGATTGATCGCTTAATTTTAAAATTATGAGCGATTCCTTTGATCCTACAAATATTGATGAAAATATTAAATGTAGCTTAACTTCATTTTTTAGTGCAACACTAGATAATATATATTTTGAACCAAGCTATAAACAATTTAAAGCCCAATTTACTGGAAATTTATTAAAATACTTAAATCTGGATAATCAATATTATGAAAATTCAATACAAGTATCTAGGGAATCATTAATTGAAACTCTCAAAAACTTTCAACTATTCCGGAAGGATCCATATTCAATTCCATTATTTTTATTAACATTTTCTATTAAAGATGGAGAATATGATGCAAGAAATTTATTCCTAATTAGAAATATTAATCAATGTTTAAAATTAAACACAATTTCTTTTGAAAAATATGAAGATAGCATGATAAATTTGATTAATCAAATTCCACAACAGGAAAAAGGAGTATTTAAAAGCAATAAAATGAAAAAGTTATAATAATATTTCTATATTACAATCTAAATTCAATTTTTTAACAATTAATTTCTGTACTTATAATTTATTTTTAAAAATAACTCAATAGTTATTTCAGTATCATACTGTTCTCTCAGAGAATTATTTATTAATTGTTTAACAATATTTCATACTATTTATCAGCGATATGTAAATCCCTAGGCTTAAAAACAAAAAAAAATATCCCAAAGATTGGCTATGGAAAATAACCTTTCACTATAAGCCAAACTTGCAGGGGCTGACAAAATTTTACTAGCTAATTTTCTCAAAAAAGTAAATCAATTCCTGCTTCCAAAACTTCAAAATATTGTCATTATTTAATTTGTTATATGAGCGATGAATCTTTTAAGTTCACCCTAACAACTTTCATCAGTAGAAGTTGATGCTTCATCAGAATCATCTAAAAATTCTCTGAATGTTTCATTTAGAATATACGGTTTTTTATGAGTGTAGGATGAATTAGGAAAATTATTAATGATAGTTGGCATTGACTTATGCATATCATCTAATTTTATATCATTTAGCATTTTTACGGTTGTTTTATATTTATTTTACTTCTATTAAAAACTTAAGGCTTTTGAAATTTGGATCAATTAAGCCTACCTTAGTAGTGGCTCCATAATAAATTCTTTCAAGAAATCTTGTCCTGTTTTTTAAAGTTTCGATTATTATTGTATCACCTTCAGAAGGTTGACAAAATTTACTAATTTTGTTTCCATAGACAAACTTCATTTATTTTGAGACGTGAATCTGCGCTAGCATTCTTTAAATATTGAAAAAAATTTTTCCAATTCGCGTAATGTTGATATCAATGGCTAATCTATTTAATTCTTGCTTGCTAAAGAAGTACACCTGTATTTCAGAATATGATTTTAAGAAACTATGTATCTTGATATATACAGAGTTCCATCTCGTTATTACATCTTGTTTAAGAGTGTGGCTTAGTTTGCTATTAGCTGTAGATTGTTTGAAATATTGTACTATTTTTTTACACCATTTATATTTAAGGCTATTTAGGTAAACAATTGTCAAAAATATAAGACATAATATTATTTAATATATGGCATATACATGCTATCCTTTCGTCATCTTTGAATGCACTTATAAGATTTGCTCTGTTTCACAACTATACATTTATTTAAATAATTTTCTACTTTTGTGTATTCTTCTAAAATTGAATTGACTACACTTTTAATATTGACGCCTGTTTTTTTTCATCCATTTCCCTTGTGGCCAAAACAAATGTTTTCAATTCAAAATCCTTATTGATAATATGTCCTGTAATGGTTAAAAAACTTCGATTTATATAGTCATCCTTCCATAAATCGGTGGTTATGGACAAGTAATTATTACTGATCATGCTTTGAATTTCTTAATTGTTAAATATTAAAGCATTTATTAAAATTAATAAAAAGTTAAAACTTACAATGACTTTTGCAAATATGTTAAAATTTGTAATTTAATGCGAAGAATTACATTTTGTAGTAAAATAATATATATAATAATAACAAACTTGAAAGAAGATCAATACAATATAGGTAAATAAGCTTGAGAAATTTGATTTGAATATATAAATTCTAAAATTTAAGCAAGATTTAGCTAAAAGTCTCACGACAAACGACCTAAACATAAAAAGAAAGCAGAACTAGTGGCATGATACCGGATGTTGTTAAAAAATGCGGAAGAAATTATTAGAAAAATTGTAAACGAGCAGTAGGAAATAAATTTTGAAAAAAAGTAGCTACTAGTCTTCTTGGAAATTTAATTTTTGACAACTGGAAGTACAGAAAAATTTCTCATTTTTGTTATTCCATAAATATCAATAATTGACTTAGTTATAAATATACATTTAGTTTTCAATTTGATTTAGTTTATAATTAGTAAAATATAGGACTTTGCCGATATTTAAGATTGAATCTGCACCGATATTTAGCTTTTAAAAAATATCGAATCGTGCCGATATTTTTAAGATTCGATCCAATATTCTTATTATTTTCGGTTTATGTGATTATAGGCAGACCAGGGATGGTTGGAACACTTTTCGTTCAAACCGGAATAATTTCAATAATATTTTACCAATCTGAATAAATAAAACATCTTTTCCTAAAAGTATAGGAAAATTATCTGAAATTTTTTTTTGGCCCAACCATGCCAAACTCTGCTCTGTGTGCGATATGTGATATGATAGTTTAAAATAGAGGTCTAAATATAACATTAATTTTTGATATATTTATAATACTAGAGGTTTTAAATAATACTAATTTATTGATAATCATAATATTCAATAATTAGGTAAAATGGTATTTAGAGATTTTAAGAAATTTTAGGAATTTATACTCAATATTTAATAGGACCAACTATGACCTAGCCCACTAACTTTATAAATCATTTAGGATCATATTAATATTTGTTTTATTATTCTGAAAAATTGTCAGTTTATAAATAGGGTTTAAACTTTTCTAAAATTTATTCATTAAGATTTTTCAAAAACAAATATTTCTCTGTAAAAATTAAAATATTAAATATTTTTCAATCATGTATGACGTAATATAGGCTTAAATTTTCAGTTTTATAAATTATAAATTATAATTGAAGTTGACTAACATCTATACTACTCAACGTGCCCAAATTTCCCCGATATATTATACTTTTATTTTATACATAATTTAATAATAATAAATTATTTAAAGGAACCAAAATTCAATTTAAAAAAACAGATATATTTTAAAAGCTAAAGTTGCTAAAAATTTAATTTTGTTATATTTGCAACAAGAAAAGGAATTAAATATAAATATAACGAGTCACATTCAAGTAGTTTTGTTAGGCTTGATTTAGCCGATTTTTAAAATAGGCTAGCCTTAGATTTTAACCAAAAGTAAATTACACAAGCTTTGAGATTTTGCCTAGAGATGACAGAAAGGTTTGGACATTTATTAATATAATTATGGGGCTTATTTAATAATATTCTGGCATCTTGATTTTGCCATTTAACAACAACACTACGTTCAGCTATAAACATTACCCATATTTCAAATGAGATGATTGACTTTTGAAGAAGAAAAAACAAAATTCAATTAATCGTTCGTGAAAGTTGACTGGTTACTAGAAAATAAAATTTTTATTATGACATTGGTTCAAAGATAGATGGTAAATAAAAATCAATATAAATATTGGATTATTGGATCAGTTTTTAATAATATCGGATAGAATCGGTGAAAAATTTATGGATCGGCACAGCTCTAAAAAATTATTTAATAGAGAAAAGGGGTTAAATAAAAGTCGATTATCAGCTAAAATCTCGTTTTTAATATAGCTAGAACATGCATGATACCCGGCCCTTTAAAAATATTTTGCACAAGTTGTCCTGCTCAGTCCAATAATCTTTTTATCCTGCTTGATCCGCCAACCGGGCCCAGCTCTAATTTATACACAAATTCTATTTAATATCCCCTACCCATAAACTTTACAATTTACTTTTTTAAAAAAAATAAATTAATATTTTGTTTGTTAATGATATCCTTGTTATTTTTATGCTATCAAGTCAATTCCGCCATATTTAAAAAATAGACAAATGAACGCAATTTAAATTCCCTATTTTTTTAGACAGTTTAAATTTTACAAGAAACAAAAAAAATCAATCCCTACGAAGAGCATTAAGTTTGTTTGAGAAATTTACCTCACACAGTACGCACATAGGTTTATTTAATAGTAGATAGAAAGCTATAATAGTTTTTTAATAAAAAGAGAAAGACTATCGATTAGCTGGTAAGATTGCATTTTTGGGAATGGCAACCTGAGAATTTTAATATTTCATAATGCCATCTGTTTCATTAACAATAATTTCTATTTTTTTAAAAAAAAATATTTCAAAAAAGCAAAATAAAATTGCATTCATTATGTTGAAATTTTTTTTAAAGCTTTTGGAAATATTATTTTTATCAAGTCAAGGGTATTAGGTTCCATTTTTCTACTAAATCCTTTTTAGTTTTTATTTCGCCTGGTATCAATTTATAACGCGACACTTTGTAATGCAAAAAATTTAAGTTAGATATTTATCTTAGAGATCTACAAAATTAGGCCCGGGCTGTAGTCGGCCAGAATGGGCTTCGGGCCGGGGCGAGCCTATTTTTAAAAAAAATCGGGTTCAAGCTGGGTCGGGCCTTGAAAATTTTTTTTAAATATATCTAAATTTATCAATTATATGTTTAATTTTTTATGTAAAAAAAAATATTTTATTTTATTTATTTGAGTAATTATAAAAATGAATTTCAATATTTAAATAAATCCAGGCCGAGCTGGCAAAACTTTTTAAATAAAATTCGGGTTCGGATCGGGTTAGGCCCGATGCAGATCACTAATTTATCTATCTTTTTGCAACAAATATAAATATGTTGTAAATGTTAACGTCAATGTGTTATTTTTTCAACTTTAATTCATTTTTTGGGCACTTTGAAAAAAATGTTAAAATTTGATTTTAGCGGAAATGTATTCTATCATGTTTTGAATACCTAACCTATGAATTTCAGACAATTTTGCTATAAAGATTTGAACCTAATATAACTAATATTCATTTTTCCATAGATTTTTTATATTAATTGCAATTCATAAGATAGGTATTCTAAACATGTTGGAATATATTTCATCAGATTAAAAAACGCGCCTAAAAAATGATTCGAAGTGGAAAAAATAACACATTGTCTGAAAAAACACATTGACGCTAACATGAGATCTGCAAAACCCACAAAATATTTCGGGCCAGGCCAAGCTTGAAAAATTAGGCTCAATGTAGATCACTAATATAATTAATTTTTTTCACAGAATATTTTTACATTTGCGTATAAAAATTTTAGGCTCAGCCCGCGAGCTTAACAGGGCAAAAAGATTATAGGGCTGAGCAGGACAACTTTTGCAAAATATTTTCACGGGCCGAGTATCATTTATGTTCTAGCTATATTTAAAACGAGATTTTAGCTCGTTGGCATATTATTTGAGATAATGGAGATTTAAGGTTCAAAATAATTAACTTTTTTTAAACCCCTTTTCTCTATTAAATAATTATTTAGTAACTAAAAAATCTAAATAAATATTGTTTTTTTACACCCGAATTTAGCCTTCAAAATTATAAGGCATCTGAATTTGAAAAATTATTTTTAAATTGATATTTTAATTTTAACCTTACATATTTTAATATTTTTATCATATGAGTAGATAGGGAGGAAGATCATTTTCAGGCTTTGTAGATTGACAAAACATAGTTTGATATGAAATTAATATGAAACATCTATAAACTTAAAGTACTTAGTTATACCTACGAATTATTTGATATTCGATTTGATTCGATTCGTATTTTACGAATACGAATATCACAATTATTCGAATCGAATTCGAATAAGGAAAATATATTATTAGTCGAATAATTTTTTATCTATTATTCGATCTAATTATTCGATTAAAATAATTTATATTAATAAATATTGAAAAATAATCATACGTTATTAGTAGGAATTATTTGCAATTATTCCTATTTAATAAAATTTCCTAGTGAAATAATGAAGAAACATTTTATATTTCTAAAATTGTTGTTAGCGGTTAATACAAAATTAACTTCCGAAAATTGTTTTATGATGGACGAAGAAAGTATTTATTTTTATATGCAATTTATAACACATATACAATTATAATAAACTAGTAGCCATCCCGTCAAGAATGACGGGCGAACCAGATATTTTTCCGTCGTTTGATGATGGAAAAATCATAAATTTTACTTTTTGCAAAAACTTTTTGTTTAAAAAATTTGTTGTTGGTATATTTGTCTTCTACTTGATATGAATATTATATTGATTTTACTACATTTATATATATATATGCTTCTATATTATCTTACTAATAAAATTTGTTTGTCTTTAATCCATAGTTAAATTTTTACAAAATAAATTTAATATATATCTTTTTTAATTTATGGTTAAATAAAATATTCCAATTGAATTGAATATACGACGAATCGAATCGAATAATCATTTTATTATTTGTACGAATACGAATAATGAATTATTCGATTTAAACGAATACTAATAATATAATGCAATTATTCGATTCGATTCGTATTTTTGTAGGTATATACTTATTTCGGGAAACATCCTTTTGTGTAATTTTCAATATTTTTAAATGTATACTTCATATTAATAAAAAGATAGATAGGAAAATAAAATAGAGTTCTCCAGTGTGAGTCAACCATGTCTTTTTGGCCGAGGACTCAACCGAAATATTTTATAAAAAATGTTTCCAAGTAGCTGGGCAAAAACATTTATTATGATATTATAAATAAATTTATATTTCATAGATCATAATAGGCCTTGCAAACCTGCCAAAATTTTGAAATATTTTGACTCGGACTTGAAAATTATTTTATAAAATTAGAAAAAATAACAGAAAATGATGCTCTCTCGTAAAATAATAATTATAATTTGTTCGTCATTAGGACAAAGCGATCTGTGATTCTTTTAAACCTCATTTAACTTCATAAAAATGCATTTAAAATATTTTTTTTAATTAAAAATTCGTGCCGGTGTAATGTAGCAAAAGTATTTATTTTAGAAAGTAATCCAATGATTTATTTTTTTCCGAAACCTACTTCTTGGACGACGTTAGGATATTGTTAAAAGGGTGGCCATATATGGGATTGGGTTAAATTTATAATAAAACTAGGGCCGTGCCGATATTCAATATTAGATCGGAACCGATATTTAACGTTTTTAACAACTATCGGATCGGGCCAATACTTTTTAGAAGAACCGAGTCGATCCAATATTTTCATCATTTTTGGTTATATTATGATTGTATATGTAATTATATGATCAATCCCTTTTGCTTTATACATAATTTCGTAATAATAAATTCATAAAAGGAACCACAAAATTCAATTTATTTGCGTTTTTAAAAAAATCCAATTTTTTTAAAAGATAGAGCAACTAAAAATTTAATTTTTTTGTTATATCTGCAACAAAAAAATTGTTTTTAAATGGCCAACTCAAGATTTTAGTTAAAAGTGAATTATCCAAGCAACTCTAGTTGGCAAAATTTGGATATCAATTGTCAAAATTTCGAGGCTTATAGCCCTTTTTATCGGTTAACAACACTACATTCAGCCATAAATATTGCCCATATTTTAAATGAGATAAAACTTTTTGAGAATAAAAAAACAAATTCGGATATGGTTTGAGATAATATTGGATCGGATCAGTAAAAAATTTGTAGATTGGCACAGCCCTAAATAAAACATGGTTTAATCAAATTTGGTCATTGTTTAATAAATTACTATATATTTTTCGACGACGAGCATAACAACTTACCTGAATTTTACATAAATCTGTGACAAAAATGTCAACTGATTACGTATTGAGTCACCTGATCTGTTAATTGATGTATTTTTTTTTTCTTTTTTACAATATGTTTTTTTTTGAGAAAACTTTACTTAAATTGCCGAAACTTTAAAAGAAACTATACTAGATTACTTTGTTTAGCAAAGTTAAATATTGCTGCAACTTTACACCAAGCCAGGCTCGAGCCTAAAATAAGATTTTCTAGCTGGGTTCTGACTGAAAAATAAAATTGAATTTGCAGTCGCGTTGCAAATTGACTAGTTATCAAATGACCAAATAATAAAATGGCACGTTACAAAACGTCTAGTTTAGAAGTGAAACCAAACCGTTTAAAGAACATACAACATTTATTTATGAAAGTATGAGTTTACGCAGCGCATAAAAAATAATAAACTTAAATTTTGCAAGATAGCTGGGGAAAATTTAACGATAGATTGGATAGTGTCTTTAAATGGGTCATTTTATTCCAAGAACAATTCATCAATGACCCTTTATTTCCTATATAAAATGAAGGTATTGCAAGATAGCCGGAGCTACAATAATTGGTGGGACTCTTCTAGGCGTCACCGGTGGTCTTATAGCGCCATTTTTAGCAGCCAGCTCAGGAATAATCTTAGGATCTGCTGGGGCTACCTTGCTGGGTACGACTGCAGGCGTCTCCATTATAGGTTCCCTCTTTGGTCTTACCGGGGCAACCCTGACTGGTTACAAAATGAAACAGCGGGCTGGCGCACTAGAGGAATTTCGCTTCGAACGTATAGGTACATTCTCATTGAAGGCAACCTGAAAATGTCCTACCTATAATATTTTATGACACTAATTATGAATTTGGGTAAATTATTTTATAATGTCGTTTTCTATTTTTGGAGATCTTGCATCATATCTTTTTAACGATCCTGCAAGTCTCATTTTTGTTGTTGATCAAGTCGGGTCCCCCAGATTTGGTTTCGAAAAATTAGGTCTTGAAAGTTATCTTAATAAAATAGATATTTTTTTGACAACTTTTAAATGTGTTAGATAAATTATGAAGTGACGTAAAATAAAAATCTTTAAAATTTAAAAAAATTTAACATAATAAACAAAAAACAATAGATCTGTACCTTTCTGATATTTTAAACATTAGGCGTGAGTTCACCTGGTCTCTATTTTTAAAAACATCCCTCGGGGCTCGATCGTGAGGGCTCTAATTTACATTACTTTTAGATTTATTAATTTTTATCTTAAAATTTATTAGGTACCAATTCTAACCGAAAGCGGTCTACCCTAGCTATAACAGTAGCTGTTTCTGGCTGGGTTTCCAAAGACTGTGACTTTGCTACACCATGGCGTGACTTACGAATCACCCGAGAGGCCTACACATTGCGCTGGGACGGTCGGCATCTTCAAAGGTTCGGCCATGGCATGGATTACCTCGTAAGTTGGGCTGCTAGCACGGTAGTTCAAGAAATTTTGCAAGAAACAGTTCTCGCTGCCCTAATGGCTAGCGTTTCTTGGCCCCTGACTTTGGTGAGCCTGGCTGGAGTTATAGATAACCCGTGGGGAGTTTGCTTTACCCGGGCCCGAGAGGCCGGTTTAGAACTAGCTAATGTCTTGATAACTGGCGTGGCCGGACGACGACCAGTTACTTTAATCGGATTTAGTCTAGGTGCTCGCGTCATATACCATGCCCTGGAGTTCTTGTGTCAACTATTATCTCCCCCAAAAGGGACTAAATCAACAGCAATGGCTCGGGGCGGTAGCGCTAAAAGTGTAGGGGGTCGATGTATCGATTCCCAACTCAAACCCTGCTCTTCCGAGGGATCCCTCCTTCAAATCTTTTCCCCAAAGAGGCATCTTGTTCCCGATGCAAAAAAATACACCGATCATATTTATCTTCTAGAACCTAGATCAGACAAAAATAATCTTACTCCTAATAAGTCATCAGACAACCTAAACCTGAATGATAGCTATAGCAATAACTTAGCGACCGCGGACACTGATCTTTGTCTCAAAGGGAAAGATCCTCGTGGAGTGATAGCAGATGTTATACTAATGGGGGCCCCTATTCCCTCTCACGATGACTCCACCTATGGGGCCTGGATGGACGTCGTTGGGGGAACCGTCACTAATTGTTATTGCACTAAGGATTGGATCCTTAGTTTCCTTTACAGAACAAGCTCAGCCCAGATTAGCATAGCTGGTCTGGAACCTCTTACATTAACGCTGGAAGGCCAGCAGCACCCGCGTTTAATAAATGTTAATCTAACATCCGTCGTGACCGGGCACAATGATTACGTTGGAAAAATGCCTGATATTTTAAAAACCCTCGGTTACCACGCTATAAGTTATCAAGATTAATATTTTGTAGGAAAAAACGAATCATGCTAACTATCATATTATTTTTGCCATTTTTTATTTTATATTACTATTTATTTCTCTCATATAATACTGACTAGGTTATTTATAACATTTTTTTATAGAAAATTTTTTTTTATCACATTTTTATAATCTAACATTTCCCAAAAGATTTTTAAAAAATAGTTTGTTATGGTACATTATAAAAACTTTTTTTTGAAAATATGTTTGATGACATTATTATTTCCTTTCAAAAATATTGATTATAAATTACGTAACACAAAAACTATGTTCTTACGTAAAATGATTTATTAGTTACTACTACTATTTTGTTAGACAAAATTATTTATATTAAAATTTGATTTTTAACTTTGTGAATGACGGGTATTTTTTTTCTAAGATTTAAAATTTTTATGAAATGATCCCTTTTTTGCTCTTTAATATGCAACATAATCCAAATAGTGCCAAGTCTTTTTGAAAATCAATCATCATTAACTCAAAGTCAAAACGATTAGATCTGAATCAATATGTATATCAATTTTTTTCCTTTTTTTCTTATTATAAGCGATTAATTAAATGCAAACATAAGTAATATATATAATTTAATTAATTTATTATTATAAATTTTCTGATTTATTATTAAATTATACAAATATTTATTATCTAAATATTATAACATTGATATTTATTTTTAGTTATAAATCTAAAATATATATATTTTCGCGTGGACCTCGGGTTCAGAACCAAATATTTCAAAAAAAAATGCTTTTATATATTTATTATTTATGTATTTAATAAAGAAAAACTTATATATTTCATCTTTTGTCGATGATCCAATACAGGGTGTGGCTCAAAATCTCTTTTTCTAAAATTGATAAGAATTATTTATATTATATTATTTTTAAAAAAAATTATACAAAATGTAATGCTAATTATCAGATAATAAAAAAATCTCCCTCTGATAAATATTCTTCTTTATTTTGAAGAACCATTTATTTCAATATTGATTTTTGTTAATAAATATTTTATATCAATAACGTTTATTATTCTTTCTTAGGTATAATAAATATAATAATTCTGTTTAAAACGGTTAATTCAACCCATATTTTTTACTCAAATTTATACCTTAACATATTGATCATCATAAGCAGGGACCTGATAAGGTAGGGTTAGGTAAAATTACTCATAAATATCTTTTAATCAGAGCCTACTAATTACATTTTAAAAAGAATCATAACTAAACTACATACTAATTGCCTGCAAAGAAATAATTGTACTTTGTAGTTTAGCAAATTTTAAAATTTGGTCATAACAGAAATATTGTTAATATTTATTTAAAGGTATTTTTAAATGCTATAACGCTTTATTTTTAGGAATCTCAAAAAGGAAAGAAAATTGGATATATGTTTAAATATTAGAGGCCTGTATCGCCCCCATTTTTTCAAATCCGACTCTATTCCTTTAGAAAATTTGTCCGACCGATTCGATTTATTTTTTCACAATAAATATTAAAAGGGCAAATTTTTTTTTTAAAAAAAATAAAGAAATGAATATTTATTGGCATTCAGAGAAAAGAATCCTAAATAGTTCGAACGAATAATATAAATGAATAGCATCTGTTAAAGATATCTTCTTTCTCTAGGTTCACCCTTTTATTGCATATGTGCTTATACCTATTTCCCTAATTAATTTTAGGGCCTTCTGACCAAAATTCGAGTGGACGCGATTGGAGGTGAACAGGTATGAGCTTAGTAAATTGATGTATTTATTAGTTTTTGAGATCTCAGCAGCTGAGTGTGCATCTTTATTTATGCTTGATTAAGGGATTGAATTGTTACAGGCCCCAAACTAAGATGTCGGTCCGCTTAATATAGATTTGAAGTTATTTTTAAAAGTATGGATGAGACATGAATGATAATATTTTATATTAGATAACTATTTTTTTGCAGGGTAGTAAACCCGTTAACCTTCTAGACCGGATTTGGTTCGGTGCAAGAAAAAAACAAGTGTCGTTTGGATTACTAAACGCCTTTTGCACATAACCTCAGCAACTTTATATTTTAACTTAAAGTACAAGAGTTCTCATAATTATATTAAATATTTTTGGAAAAATGAATAAAATATTTTAACGTTTGCAAAATTATTACATATTTTAAATATAAATGATATTTACTAGATGTACCGGATCCAGTTTTTTCACCGGTACTGGACTGGTTTAGCTACACGCCAAATCTTGATCTTATAAAAAAAATTATTAACTTGCATACTTAAAATATGTAAATTAAATTTAATAGAACATATTTTTAAATTTATTAATATACTTTCAACAATAAAAAAATATAATTAAAATTAATCGATGGTATTTAATATTTTACTCACATAGAAAATTTTGTGTCGTATGCTTTAATTTCGTAGTAAATTTTAAATAATAATTTTATTTAGATATCTTTATATTTTAAATAAAGAGGAATAACTAGTTAAACCCTATTTAAATAGGGAAGATGCGGTAAATCTCTCATGTTTATGTTAAATGTATTTAAGTTTATAAAACCTCAACCTAACCTATAAACCGGTAATGTTTACAGAACCTCTAACAATTTATTACTCGAACCTATACCGAACTTCAAGAAAGTATGTAAACCAGATTAAACCTTTTGATTTTCTAATCTTTTAAAGCTTATTAAGAAACATTTTGTTTGAAAATTTAGATATTTTTCTATACTGCCAATTAACGGTGCCAGCTACTCAAGATAGCATATAGATATGTTCTCAGCCATAGAATTTATTCAAAAACAATCTTGAAAATATTTTAATTTAATTTAATTATTTTTAGAAAATAGTCATAAATTTTAAAAAATGTGGTTCTCTAAAGTTTGTATGCGAAAAAATAATTATTATTTTGAACCATGAGCCTAGTGAAGGTCAACGGTCCGGTCCTATCGGTATTAGACCGGGACCGGACCTATTGTCGGACCGGTCTTTTTTGAGGACCGTAGTGCGGACCAGTCTTTTTATTTTTAACGGTCCGGACCGGTCTTTTATTATTATTTAAGTTTGCTTTAATATGCAATTAATATAATTTTTTTGTATATTTTATTTTATGATATTTTTCTAGATGAGTTATTTTAGATTTTGTTAATTTTTATTTTACAATATGAAAACCATAAGTTTGTCCAAGAAACATTTTACTTATAGTCCCAATAATTAAATAGAGTATGTGTTAACTACAGTACCAAATTTAATGTATCGTCAGCAACAAGTAACAAAATAATTGTTTATAATTTTTTAAGCAATAAATTAATCAAAATAAGCAGTATTATTATTAAAATATTTTGATTATTATTTATATGGTTATATTTTTTCTTAAGAAACTGTCCGAATAATTCATTGTCAAAATAACTTAACATTATTCTTAATAAAATAATTAGGTACCTTAAGCAGACATATGATAAAACATAAAATATATACTTCTACTTCTAATGATGGAAATGAAAATATCTCAAAAACATAATCTACTCTTAATTTTAATATGCCCTCCACAAGCACAAAATCACTTTCTTCAATACCATTGGATAAATTTTATTGTTTATATAATACTCTTATATTTAATAAAATGATAAAACAAATTAAATTAGTTTAAAAAAAATATGTTTTTTAAACAAATAAAAAGAACGGTCCTAAACCGGTCTTTTTATTTAGGACCACGGTCTGGATCGATCTTTTTCTTAATGACCGTGATCCGGTCCGATAGTGACCTTCACTACATGAGCAGTTATTTTTATTAACTTGAACCGATATTCGTTACTGTTCGAATCCCTGATTTTAGCTATAAGATAACTTCTAGACTCGTGCTCAGCCCAGTTTAGGTATTCCAATAAATATAAAGCGGCCTCGTATCTACTTAGAAAAAAAAAATTATTTTAAATTGTCATTTCAAGATATTCTACCAATTTTTTTTGCAATAAATTGAATTTTATATCATAATAAATGGAAATTATTATTATATTATAAACTATAAATCATTGATCTACTTTATTTTAGTGTTTATAAACGAATCACCTTTTTTTCAAGGAGCTTTAACTCTTACAAGTTATATTTCGAAAAGGTAACTTTAGGCTATAACTAATTACATTTTTTTTTTGGAATGTAGCTATGAATATAACTAGTTACAATGTTAAATAAAAAGTATTATATTTAGAAATGTGTGTTAATTTTTTTTTAATTAAAGTTTAAAGTAAATCTTGTTTATAATTCTTTTCCACCATTTATATTGAAAATAAAATTTTGTGATATTAACATTGTTAATTTTAGTGTTGTTAAACGACTCCATTTGAACCGATTTCATATATATTCCAATTTATATTTATATATCACATTCACAGCAGAAATAAATACACTACTAATTCTATGAATTAATATCAATATCAAATTTTCCTTAGTGTTATATTTATCTACCATTTAAAAATTTTCCACCTAATCATTTGAATTTATCACAAACTAAACAAAAATATTTCAAAATAATGATGTTCGATTTGATTGAGACTATGAGATGAAAGTATTATACTGAAACTTAATGGAATTAGGGCAAATGTAGATGACGAATTTTATAAATTACATGTCATTCATTATAAAGTCAAAAGAGTACTCTAAGAATTGAATATTTATCTACCTCGATTCGCAGCAAGGCAGGCCTATCGTTTTAACATTAATATAGGGTCAATCGATGAATACTATAATATAAATCTCATTATCTCCCTCGTGGATATTTTAAAAACTCAAATGAATGGAACGTTCTCGGTTAATCCCCGGGGTGAACCGAAATGAACGGCTAAATTATTATAAACCTTTATAAATATCTGAACCGTACTGAACCGATGTAATTATTTTTTGAAGGGGTAAAAAAAACCTTTCTAATAAGAGTTAAACCGGTTTGAACCGCTTTCAGCCAAAATAAAATAAATTATTTTACATTTTATTTTATTACATTATTTTCCTTGTGGTGTATTACATATTTTACCATATTTTTTTTATATATTATTCATAGATACTTATAATAAAAATAAATTAATTTCATCTACTGTATAAATAAACAATACTATTAACTTAAGTGATGGCAAAAATTTTAATACTTAAAAATAAAAATTTCTAATCGTAATGAACCTTTACAATTAGTTGAACCTAACCGAAACTTTATAAATTTTTTATTAAGAACCGTAACTGAACTGTAAAACCATTTACATACTGAACCATAACCAACTGAACTATTATAAATAAAAGTTCGGATCCCTAATAAAAATTATTATATATTTTGGCAACTTAACTCATTAGTACTTTTACCAATGAGAAACATTTTTTCTTTAACAAAATTAAAAACATACCTGGGAAGTAGTCTTGTTAAATGGCTCGATTTAAACCGATTATTAAAAATGGCTAACTTAATATTTTAACCAGAAAAATATTGATTAGGCCTCGAAATTTCGATAAT